TGGTTGGAAGGTTTCCTACCGTTCCACAGCTCATAAGGAGTCTTATCGAGCTTCTTGTGGGGTACCTTATTCAAAAGGTAATTACTTGTCAAAATAGCTTCACCCCACGCGTCTTGAGGTAGGCCCGAACTTATAAGCATCGCATTCATCATATCTTTCAATGTACGATTCTTTCGTTCGGCAACACCGTTCGATTGAGGTGAGTAAGGTGCAGTACGCTCGTGTATTATACCTACACTCGCACAGAAGTCACCAATAGGTGCTTCGTACTCACCACCTCGATCGCTTTTAACTTTCTTAATCTTACAATTAAGTTGGTTTTCAACTTCATTCTTATAAAGAATGAATTTTTCCAAGGCTTCGTCTTTGCTTTTAAGCAAATACACATAGCAATAACGTTTGCTATCGTCGATAAACATGATAAAATATTTATTACCACCTCTCGTTTGTATCGATCTAAAATCGCACAAATCACTATGGATTAATTCTAGTGGTTCAGTTTCCCTTTCAACCGATTTGAAAGGTACTTTCGTTAATTTTGCCTCAACACAAATTTCACATTTGTTATTTGTGTTAATTTGAAAATTAGGAATATGGTCCATGTTAATTAATCTACGTATAGAATTATAATTAACGTGACCTAGTCTACCATGCCACAAATTGGAAGACTCAAGCAAGTAAACGGAATTAACTTTGCTCTTATTCATGATAATAGGCATTACATTGAGCTTAAAAAGCCCATCAGTTACATAACCTTTGCCTACAAACATTCCTAACTTAGACAAAACAACCTTGTCTGACTCGAACACCATGCGAAAGCCATGCTTGTTCAACAGTGAGCCAGACACCAGATTCTTCCTCAGCTCTGGAACATACAGCACGTTGTTCAACGTCAGTTCCTTCCCGGAAGTCATCTTCAGAACCACCTTGCCCACGCCTTCCACAGCAGACTGAGCAGAGTTTCCCATCCAAACCTTCTCGCCCTCAACGGTCTCAAAGGTGTTGAACATTTCTCGGTTGCAACACAAGTGCCTTGTTGCACCAGTGTCGATGAACCACTCTCGTGGGTTAGAGTCCACGAGGTTCACCTCGGTCACCATAGCCGAAAGGCTAATCTCGTCCTCCTTCTGATTGCTTTCCTCAACCATGTTGGCTTCAGAACTCTTGTTCTTCTTCTTTGGAACTTTGCACTCAGAGGACTTGTGGCCAGTCTTGCCACAATTGAAGCATTTTCCATGAAATTTCTTCTTGGTAATGCCTCCTTTCAGACCTAGCTTTTGCTTGTCTTTCTTGTTCTTCTTGGAGTTTTTAGCATGCTCCACAACATTGGCTTTAGCACCAATAGTGACAGAATTTCTTCCATCATTCGTCTTGTTCCCCTCCTCAATTCGGAGTCGCTAGATCAGGTCCTCCAGGTTCATTTCCTTTCGCTTATGCTTAAGGTAATTCTTGAAGTCCTTCCACCCTGGAGGCAGCAAGTGGATAACAGATCCCACTAGGAAGGCTTCACTCAACGTCATGCCTTCGTCACGGATTTCATCAAAGATTAGTTGTAAATCTTCAACCTGACTTAGCACGGTTTTGGAATCAACCATTTTGAAGTCAAGGAATCGGCCAACCACAAATTTCTTTGCGCCGGCATCCTCACTTCGGTATTTATGATCCAAGGCTTCCCACAGCGCTTTCGCTGTGCCAATCTTGCGATATACATCGTATAACGCATCACACAATCCATTTAGGATGTAGTTTCGGCATAGGAAGTCCGAATCCTTCCAATAGCCAACTGCCATCACGGATTGGGCATCTTGTTCCCTTAATTTGGGAACCGTCTCGGTCAAGAATCTCGCCAAGCCGAGAGTTGCCAGGTAGAACAGCATCTTTTGCTGCCACCTCTTGAAGTTCGATCCACTACCGGTGAACTTCTCCGGTCTTTCGGCCGAACCACTGGGTACCGTAGGTACCCGAGTCATGGGAATATATCCCTCAGTGCTCCCACCATCTTGTGAACCAACGTTCACTGGTGTAGCTTGGGAATTAGCAACATTATTGCCATTCCCACCACTGTTGTTCTCAACAACATTCTCCTCCCCGAGAGCTGGCAAAACTGGATTCTCCATTTCTTCTAGGAAATTAGAGATAAACAACCAACGGAAAACGGATATAAGGTTTTAAGATTGTTGGTTATTATGGTTGAAAAATTCCCAAAAAAAAAAATAATAATCCTACGGAAAGATTAATATTATATGGGAAAACAGAAAATTGGGAAGGAAAAGGTTGAGTGTTTGGGTAAAGGTTTAGCACGAGTTCGAACACGAAGTTCTTTTCCTTAAAACCTTATTTGCTACCTCCCACAAGTGCTAGGAGCGTTGTAGCCTAGGTTTCCCAGGATAAAACGTGCTACGATTCCTTGTTTAAGCACCTAAACAAGGAACCCGGCAAACAAAGCAAAGTAGAGAACACTAGTTGGTAAAGAAGAGAGTAGAAGCAGAGTTTTGGGAAGCTGAAAGCTACTGGAATTCCTTTCGTTTTTGTACTGTGTAAAATGCTACTGCTTCTACCTCTCTTTATATAGGGATGTTGGAGTGATAGCATTCAACATGGCCATTAAATTGGTGTTAAAACCAATTGTGTAACACCTGTAACGGTCACCACTAAGTAGGATTAAACTCAGAATTTAAAAATTGGAATTAAAACAGTATTAATTCCGTAACAGAACTTTCGGGTTTCAGACCGTTGGGTTGCAGGTTCACACGAGAGCACACGGACCAGTCAACACGAGAGTACATCTCTCGTGTGCAATACTCTCGTGGTCACAGATGCAGGTGCACCACACACGAGAGTAGGTCCCGCAAGGCCAGCCCATTTCCGGACGACATTCGTGCCTGCAGGTGCCGGCACACGCGAGCTCGGGCTTGATTTCAAGCCTTTTTGATGTCCTCTAGTTGGATTTTGATTTGCACCCCCCCCCCCCCCCCCCGCGCGAGAGAGCCTCTATGCTATACAATTCTACAAGCTTGAAAAGAGCTCATGTATATAAGGGGGGCAAATCTTGTTTCCAAACCAATGTGGGACAAAGTCCTACATTTTCCCTTCATTTCTCAACTTAAATGGGTCTACTTTGAGAATCAATATCTCATTCACCCATTATCCGTTTTGAGCGTACAATATATCAATCTCTTCGTCTTACTACGAAGAATCCGAATCCACTTTGACCCGACCCAAATCGGAAGTGGACCCACTGATAATTGTATCACAAAATAGCCACTTAATATGCCATTTTAAGCTAATTTTTCCAACATTTTGAAATCAAATATGTTGGTAATCCTCTCTAATATGCTGGCAATCCTATTACGTTACTACTATAACTAGTATTTGTCCCGTGCGATGCACGGAAAATATGTTATAAAAATCTACTCTATATGAGGTTTATTCATATATAAAATTTTTGTTATTTAATAATTATTATGTGTGAATTCCTGTAATAAAATTATGAACATAAATATATTTACAATTAAAATAATATTTAAGGTGGGTGATTACTACAAATCTTAAACTATATTAAAAATTTAGTACATAGTATTTAATATTACAAATTTTTAAGAACTTAGTAAACTACAATAGTAATTGAATTACAATTTTAGAATCACCACGGATCAAATTTTTTAGACCTTTGAGATTTCTAACTCTAGATGTAGCACCATACAATTGACCTTTAAAGACCAAAATCACAATATTAGTTCGAACATTGATTTTTTCTTCCAAATACTATCAAATTAAGTGTGTAATCAATAAAAGATGAGAACTAATAATTCGAGAATATAATCTTAATGTTACTAAGCCACTTCACGTCAATTAAGTTGGAGAGTGTTGTTGGATAGTATCCGATGAATCCACGAATAACGCATCTTTGTCTCCGTAGTCCTCAATATGCACATCAACAATCTTAAATATTAGGCCGCCTAGCTATGCCATATATTAATTTCAAACTTATGAACTTTGGGGTTGCATGTAATAAAAAGTATATTTTAAATATACTAAGGGTACATTATATATGTATGTAAGGTACTTTCAATATAAAAATAATGTATTTTTAATATATTAAAAATGTATTTGATATTCATGATCCATACAATTATGTGGACCATCGTTCACACAATAATTTGCCAGTAGAAATTGAATTATAAATAAATAAATAAATAAATATATATATTAGAAACTGTCCGTAGAAATTATCATTATTATTATTATTATTATTATTATTATTATTATTATTATTATTATTATTATTGTTATTAGTATTTTTATTATAATTAACAATATTATTATGGTTTTGTGAAAATTAAATGTTGATTATCAACATTTAATTTTCACAATAACAATATTATTATGGTCTTGTGAAAATTAAATGTTGATATTATCACCATTTAATTTTCACAAGACCATATAGCTTTATTATATATAGGATAATAGGCTAACAACCTAACGCCATAATTACATACCTTAATAATAATAATAATAATAATAATAATAATAATAATAATAATAATAATAATAATAATAATAATTATTATTATTATTATTATTATTATTATTATTATTATTATTATTATTATTATTATTAAATCCTCTCTAATATGTTGCCAATGCTATCAAGTTGCTACTATAATAATTCTTTTATAGCCAAACGCCATAATTACTTACCTTAATAATAATAATAATCTATATATCTATATCTATATATATCTATATAAAAACAAAATCTTCCTATTTTATTTTCCTGTCCAAACTTTTGTAGTCAACTAATTAAATATTTGTATTAGACAATAAAAACTAATTAGGAATATTAATATAATAAATTGATTAAGAATATCACTATAATAAATTAATTAGAGCAATACCTTAAATAAATAAATACACTTTTCTTAGAGACTTGGAATAAAATATTAATTACCCAAACTTTTTCCTCTCGCTAACTTTCGCGAGTTCTCCTTCTTCTCTACGTGAGAGCTTTTCTTTCTCCTTTCTTGTGAGTTGCTTCTGGTTTTCATGGTTGCTAATGGTGCTTCTTGTTCAAGGGCAACCCTACCCTCACTAATCTCGATGATGAGGATGTCATGCAACAAGTCGGAAACATATCTCTGGGACCGACTGAAGGTGCTGATGAGTTCCTGGCCGTGGCGAGGCTGGTATCTGATAAACGGGCCAAGTTTGTGTTTTTCAGAGACACTTTGGCGTTGGTTTGGCGACTAGCGCTAGGAATGAATATTCGTGAGCTTGAATCCAAACGCTATCTGTTTCGTTTCTTCCACGAAAATGACTTCTCTCGTATCATGGAGGATGGTCCTTGGGCCTATGAGCAAAGCTTGCTGATTCTCAAACCGAATGTTGATCCGGAGTCTATCCCCCTTGACACCGTTGAGTTTTGGATACAGGTTCATGGGGTTCTACCAGGCTTCCGATCGGAGGCAGTACTGAATGAGATCGGTGACTTTATTTGTCGGGTTATTCGTTTGGATGAACGTAACTTCGACCGTTCATTGCGTTCTTTCTTCCGAGTACGACTGTAAATCGATGTTGCTAAGCCGCTAAAAAAAAGGGATGAAGTTGAAAAAGGACAATGATGAGTGGTTCGGCTAGATTTTCGCTACGAGCGCCTACCTACATTTTGTTTCATTTGTGGCATTCTTGTGTTAGATATATATAATCTAACTATACTTAATAATAGTATACGAGAGATCTGAACTCGTATAAGAGCGGAAGTGTAGCCATGTTGATCTCCAGCCACAGTTGATATTTCTGACCGTTAGCCATTGTTTGCCTCATACCTGACTCAGAACCCTAGATAGTGCATTTGTGTCTATTAAGCAGTATGAGTACCGTAAATGGATGTTCTATATCATCAATCATCCTTATCCCATCAATCCAGGATTACATTAGGCACAGAGTTTGGTGGACTAACAACTTCTAGTTATTCAGTCCAGCCATATCACTTAATAAGCCTAGTCAACTTGCATCACTTAATTAAGACCCTAATATATAATATACAATATATATATATATATATATATATATATATATATATATATATATATATATATATATATATATATATATATATATATATATAATATATTATGAGGGAAAATCTTACATTCTCCCACTTTTGCAAGTACTAGCACAACCTTCATTAAAGAACAAAACACACGAATCATAGTGGCATGTCCTCTATTTAATCAGAGTAGTATCTATTATGGTCACATGCATTTTAATTCTTCAACTTAGGTCCTTTATGAGCAAACCCAATGTTTATTCTCGGTACCTTAAGGGATGGTACAAAAGAGTACAAAAGAGTACACTGTATGATCTCTAAACCTTATAAGCATGTCTTAAGTAGATATCTTTTAATGTTAGCATAATGCTAACTGTATTCTATGACTTCTTTATAAGTTAACATAAGCACTACCTATAACGGCTAAGAGTTTGGAGTTGACACGTCTGTCACTCCCACTCATCAAAATAGCCATAAGATAGTCAAGTCACAGAAACATTCCAATAAGTTAGACAATAAACCAAAGGTCTAAGTCCATAAATTTGGAATCTTAAACATACACCATAACTTCCCAAATAACTTCAATGTCCGTTTTAAATGAACTGAACATAATGAGTCTGACTTATATGTCTCACAAAATTATTTTGAGCCTTACAAACCAAAATGGCCCAGGATCAATTTTGAATAATCTAAAGACTCTATTAATCACTGAATAATTTATTAAATGACAGCGCACAACAAGTTAAATCCTTTTGTTCTAATAAATTCCTTAATATTGTTGCAACATTTTCATAAATATGTTGCACAACCCAAGGTTCAATAATTTGAACTTATGAATTTATAAGAACAAATACAAGATTAATACTTGTGGAATATTTTGGACTTATTGTTTGACAAACAATCCAATTTGAGATGTATGAAGCCAATAATTAAATCCATAATCTTCAATGGAGCATCATAATGATCTTTTTCTAAATGATCACTCCCACTGATTAAGATATTCTTCAACAAAATTAATAAAGTGAACTTAATAATATACATACTCATAAATGATTTGACCAACTAACAAATGAAGACATAATTCCCCACCATTAGTTGGACATACTAAATAATCAATTTTTGGTTCCAATTAAAGTCCAACTAAATAATGAAGATATAATTCCCCACCATAGTTGGACATACTAAAAATTAAAATTAAAAAAAAAAAAATACACCTTCCAAAACCAAGTTAGAATTTGGCAGAAAAGATACATTTTATTATTAATGGAATTCAAAAGATGTATGTCAAATCATGTAACTTACTACAGTTAGTCCGAAAAACCGAGCAAGATTCGTGGATTAATTAATAAAAGTAGCTAAATTTTGAGAAGTGACTGAAAACATGTTTTGCAAATGCAAACCATGAAACTTAGAATTATAATGAAGCTAAATTTATAAATTCTAAGAAATTGTGATAAAATTATCATCTAATGGGTTGAGGGATTTATTGACATAAAACTTGTCTGTGGGCTAAAGTTTTAATTCTATTCAATCCAATTAAGAAACCCTTATGATAATATTTTTGACAATTACTAAAGAGCCAGAAGAATCTAGTGACATAAAACTTGCTTGTGGGCTAAAGTTTTACTCAATTAGATCCAACTGAAAAAATTTCTTTATGATGAAACAATTATCAAATGAGTTGAAGAATCAAGTGACATAAAACTTGCCTGTAGGCTAAAGTTTTACTCAGTAAGATTCATTACAAACATTATGATAAAAAACTTAAGAAATCATGTTCCTTTTCTTAATCCCTGTGGACAAATTAAGGAATATATATGATCTAAAGTTTACATCATAAAACTAAACTTCATGATAGAATTGGAAATTATTTACAAATAACCATAAAGTATCTATCATAACTGATAAAACTACTAAACTACATTCCGATACATAATTGCCTGTGGGCTAAATTATGACCGTAGTTCAATATTTCATCCTGACTAATTATACAAATATAACGAAATTGCATGTGAGCCAAATTCTATCATATTACATACAATTAATCAGAAATGATATGTACAAAAATTTATGTGATCAAAATAAACCGCTTAATATATAATTTTAACAGATTAAGGATGTTGTGGCTACTCCCCCACCAAATTAAAATTATAAGATCACTAGACAATTATCAATTCATTGCCTAAACTTTATATGATTGAAACTTAACAATCTTAGGTAGTTGAACATGATGTAGCTATTCCTTATTAACCAAGACTGAAAACTTGAGAGACTTCAGTAAATTAAAGATGCTATGGCTATTCTTTAATGAACCGAAATCAAATCACATTGGCAAGGAATACTTAAAATTTTGACAAACAGATTATACCAGATTCTGATGGGAAAATCTAAATATACTCACATAAAAGGTGGTTAGAGACTAAGTCTCACTGAAAATCAATTCCTTAGATAGAGTATCAATTGAAGGAGACTAGTGACACAAGATGTCCTTAAGTCATGGCCATTAAAACTAGTATGTCCCCCCAATTCATATATACTTAATGTATAACTGTTTGGGGGTATGAACTTAAAACTGTAGGGTATACAGCAGTATACTGAATGGTTCACCTATGATTAAAACTTAAATGATAAACTAAATTAGCAGACTAAATGTGCTTAAATTCAGGCACTACCGCAACTTAAGTTTATGCATCTATCCAAACTCAAATAGGAACTAATATAATTCCATCCTAAAGTATGCATTGCTAAAGACATAATAAAATTGCATAATTTAAAACATAATATTATGCTTAGGACAAATATGCATAAAACTAAACATTAAACTCATATATTCCAAATAAACTGCATAACTTAAAGCAATTTACAATATAAGATTTCAAAGTATAAATTTAATATTCAAACACCAATGAGTCCAAACCAAAAGAGGCCCAACATTTTGAATAATAATGTACTGGATATATACTTTAAAATTTTTAAACAGTAAGCCCTTGACAAAATGTTTTAATGCATAAAGATCAAATTCATGAGAAATAACTAAATTTACAAATTCAAACAATATCAAACCAAAAGGATATGCTATCATTTGTAAATTAAAATCTCACAAACTCTAATTGCATAGTTAAACTTAATATTATGCACCTAATGTGATCGAATGAGGCATAAAACAATCTAAAGAATATGAACCAACTAAAGAATACGAATTTACACCAAATATTCATTTATTCATACTTAACCAAATATGGGCAATCAAATCAAAAATCATAATTCAAAGAACTAAATGAATTATGAAATGAATGGCAAAAGTCAATTGCCTAGAAAATATGCTTTCCAAGATTACTAAATTGATTCAAAATCACTCTCCATAACCCAGTTAATAATATTATTATTATTAATGGCAAAATTGCAAAAAAAAAAATCAAAATAGAAATAAATAGTCATAATAATATTATCACATTATGTAGGAGACTCAATATGAAAAAACAATGGTTAAAAATGTTAACATTTATAAACGTTTTCGGATAAAATTTTAAAAACTTAATAAAATTTGAAGTCCGAAAAACATTAATGTCAAGAAAACTATTTTCTTAACTGGAACACTGTCACATAAATTTATTTGGAAACAGTTCAAGGTACATATCTGAATACCATTACAATACTAATGTCATCATTAATTAAGTATTAATAGTAATAAGTAACATTATAATCACTATTAACATTAATAATAACGACAAATTAAAGTATGGTAATGCACCTTTTAATGTTCCCATTTTTCTAAACATAAAATATGTGACTAGTCCAAATTAGCGGTTAACCGTAACTATAGCACTAATTATCAATAATAACCATAAAAGATAATTAATGTCTAACCTTAATGATGCAAATCGCATCTCCCCATTGTGCTAACAACGATGACGATCCACAAGAAACTCCCAAACTTTAGAATACTCTCAATCTTCACTATCGGTGTCAATAAACTCGATGCAGCGTCCAATGGTACGTTCAAAAATTGATTGGTAGAACTCGCACGGGCTTAGCTCAATGGTTTAGTGGGCAGTATTTGGGAGAAGAAAAATTGATTGGTAGGACTTAATTACCAACATTAATAGTCATTAAAATGAAATGGTAATCATGCCAATGTACCAAATATAGCAGATTACCATGAAATGATAATTATTATGGAAGGTAATAAATGAGATTAGCTCCTAAACTTAATAACAGTAATTAATAATGCCCATTAATACTAACAACAATAAAGGCAAAACTGTAATTAAGGGATGCCAAATACTAATCTCAATTTACCACATAATAATTAACCATGACTATTATGATACTTAGGGAGACTGAAGTTAAGGTAATAACTAAATTACCATTTTACAGACAATATACCAACTATATTGCTTTTGCCATAAAATTAAAGACTTAATATTATTATTAAGGCCTTGAAAACTATTGATAGATTAAAAACATAATCAACTTCAATAATAGTTTGTAATTCTTAATGACCAAAATAACAATTAAATTCTTAATGTCTCAAAACAGACCAAGATAATAATTATAGCACTTAATCACTTAAATTAGGCTCATAATCCTCAATGGTCCAAGTGAATTATAACATGGATGGAAAATGGTCTAATACTGAAGTAGATCCAAAACTTAATATTATTACCAACGATGAATACCTAAACATAGTAGTTAGTAATAATTAAAACTTAATAAACATGTTATAATTAAATAAAAGAGCCACAATTATTATTTAAATATCAATCAAAATGATGGGATCCATACTTTAATGACCCAAGATAGGTCCCAAATAGCTTGTTCAAAATAGGTTCTAAAGTCCCATAGACACATAAAACTAAAATATGTCAAATTAAAGAGAAACCAAACAAGTTGCTTTAGTAGATCAAGATACCTAAAATTGACCTAAGGATCCAAAATTGAGGGTGTGTTTGGAAACCCGGAAAATGACTTCTGGAAGTCATTTTCCGGTTTTTGGTGTTTGGCTACATTGGAAAATGACTGGTCAAAGGAAAATGAGGAGAAGTCAATGGAAAAGGAAGGCAATTTTCTGGAAAATGACTTCCCCTTTTTTTTGGGGGAAGTCATTTTCCTTCCATCCACGCACGACTTCTTCTTCCCTCTTCAACAGCTCTGCCTCCTCCTTCAACATTTGCAATACAACTCACCAACACTTCCTCCTCCATCAATCCATAATCACAAAAGCTTCAACAACACTAGAAAAGCTATTGAGGTATATCTCATCTCTTTCTAGTTTGAATTTTTTTTTTTTCTATGAACTTTATAGATCTATTTTCTGAGTTTGTTTTTTTTTTCTTCACTGGTTTCCGCATCGGAAACCATTTCTGGTTTCCGATGCGAAACCATCTCACTCACTGGTTTCCGATGCGGAAACCAGAGGCACTGGTTTCCCCGCCGGAAACCAGTGGGTTTCCGGCGGGGAAACCAGTGAAGAAAAAAAAAAAAAAAACAAACTCAGAACTTGTATGCTTTGATTGCCATGCCAGTAGATTTGATTGCTACATAATTTTTTTTCAATACCATGTCAGTAGATTTGATTATACATGATCTTAAACACAGCTATTCTAACTTTGAGATGGATGGTTTCATTAAACACATACAGTAGATTTGATTATACATGATCTTGAAGAACTTGTATATTGGTAGCTGCTTATAATACACCTTGGTTGCTGCTTATTTGGTTTATTGATTTTGATCACTAATTATTGTGTGGTTATGACCTATGTGTTAGTTTTAATTGTGGTTATTTGTTATCATTTTTTTTGTGTGTATAGATGGATAGAAATCATGTGCGTGCAACTGTTATGGGTGCAGCAAGTGCTATACTAGCTATGGGAGTTCTTCTATTACAACAACTTAGGAATAGAAACCAAATAGAACATAACATTGTCAATAGAGATGATGAGCGTGAGAGTTACATAAATAGTATCTTGTGTGAGGGTGATAACAAATGCATTAGCGTTATTAGAATGCGACCTATTTCCTTTTATAAATTGTGTGACCTTCTTGCTACTAAGAACTTATTACGCACAACTAGAGCCGTAAGTATTAAGGAACAAGTTTTAATATTTTTACATATAATAGGTCACAATGTACGTTTTCGAGTAATTGGGTCAAGGTATTATAGGTCAATTGAGACAATTCACCGTTACTTTAGAAGTGTTTTGAGAGCCATTTTATCTTTGTATACAAACCTCATAGTATTACCGGTCGGTGAAGTAACTCCTCATGAAATCATTAGCAATCCGCGATTTTATCCCTATTTCAAAGATTGTTTAGGAGAAATAGATGGAACCCATATTCGTGCATCCGTTGCAATTAATATGCAAGGAAGTTTTCGCGGACGTAAGGGTGGAACAACACAAAATGTATTTGCTGCCATCACTTTTGATTTGCGATTTTGTTATGTGCTAGCTGGGTGGGAAGGTAGTGCACATGATTCTCGAGTCTTGAACGATGCACTCACACGTCCAAATAAATTTAAAATTCCAGAAGATATAAAATAAAATTATGTAATCACTTTTTACATTGTGTTGTTTGTTATTGCATATAAGTAATCAAATTATGTAAACTTGTAGGGAAATATTATCTTGGTGATGCTGGATATGGCATACGGAATGGAATACTTACTCCATATCGTGGTGTTAGATACCATTTGAAAGAGTTTAGTGCTCATCGTCCTGAGAATAAGAAAGAACTTTTCAATCTTCGTCATTCGTCCTTACTTACATCTATTGAAAGAGTGTTTGGAATTTTGAAGAAACGGTTCCGTGTGTTAGATGCTGAACCTTTTTGGGATTACCAGACACAAGTGGATATAGTTTTAGCTTGTTGTATAATTCATAACCATATTATGGGAGTTGATCCTAATGATGAGCTTAATCAAGCAACAGTTGATTTGATGATGATAACTTGTTGCCCTTATCTCATACGCAAACAGAAGAAAGACAAGAAGTTAGACAATGGAATGCAAAGAGAGATGAGATCGCAGAACAAATGTGTAATGAATTTCTTATTAGGAACTAGTGTCTAGTTTCATATATTTGAGTATGCTTTGTTATTGGATATTATTAGTTACGTTGTTGAACATTTCTTATTGTTGTGTACTTGATTATGCTTTGTTATTGGATATTATTATATGGACATGAGTATGCTTTGTTAATGGATATTATGTTTCATTCGTTGACGTTGGTTGTTATTGTTTTTATGTTATTATAGAAACATGAATAAGGGAAAGGGAATTGCCACTTCTAGACAATTTCGGTGGACAAAGCCAATGGAGGGCGTATTTTTAAAGATATTAGCTGAAGAGGCTAGGAATTCCAATAATCCAACTAACAATTTTAGAACATCTTCATTCAATCGTGTTGCATCTACCATATCTGAACAATTTAATGTTGCATGTGAAGTCAAACATGTTGAGAATCACTTGAAAACAGTGAAGAACACATGGATGATGTTATGCAAGCTGAAGGGGATGAGTGGTCTTGGATGGGATGATAACTTGAAAATGATTACATGTGATGAAGCCCCGTATATTGAGCTTATCACGGTAATATTTTATTATCATAATTTGACTATTGCATAAATCTAATGTTTTTTATTAGAAAATATCTCATGTTTATTATTTATTTATAGGCAACTCCCAAGTATGAAACATTGTTGAACAGGAAGATTGACTACTACGATGAGATGTCCATTGTCGCTGGCAGAGATTGTGCCATAGGACGATTTGCAAAATCTTTTGCAGATGTTACTTTAGATGGCCCTCATGATGAGATGTTGCCAGATAACAATGATGAAACCCTGCCTGAAGGAAATGATGAAGAAAGTAGGGGAAGAACATCTGCATCAACTGCGTCGTCTCAAAGATCCGGTCGTAAGCGAAAGTCACTTGACTTGAAGGTCGATGAAATTGCTGAACAACTTGGTAGCATTGCCAGAGCAATTAAATCTTTGAATACTAGCATTGATGAAAATCAGTTGTTTGCGGATGTGATGAGCATAGGTGATGGCTTTCATAAGGATGACCTATGTAAGGCATTTGAATACTTGATGACAAATGAGGTTCAGGCGAGGATTTTCAACGCGAAGAATGCAAGTTTGAAGAGGAAATGGATTGAGAAATTTATTTCTTCTTCGGATTAAATTTTCTATGCCTTTTTTTTTGTTGGTTAACATGGATGTTAAGACTTGGATTGTAATATTTAAGACTTATTTTTATGTATGCTTTGTAGTTGGTTGGTTATGTTGGATCTTTAATACTTGATTATATTGGATCCTAAGACTTTGTGGATTTTAATTTTCAATACTTGATTTTGTTGATTCCTTTATGTTGTTTCTAACATGTAATTGTGGTTTGAAATTGCCATATTATGACAATAGTTTTAATACTAGAAAGATATATTGAGAGCAAAGGCATTCGAATTAAATACAACTAAAATTTATGTAGCATGGAATTTGAAATAAAAATTATTATATTATACAAAAAAACAATAAAAATATATTTATCGAATAACAATTAAAATGTTTAAGTATACCATTCTGTTCATTTTCTGGAAAATGAACCAAACACAAAAAGACAGTTTTCCATCATTTTCTGGAAAATGAACCAAACACCAAAAGACAGTTTTCCATTGTTCAGCCAAACACAGAAAAGGAAAATGACTTCTGAAAAATGACTCATTTTCCAGAAGTCATTTTCCAGCTTCCAAACGGACCCTGAATAATATTTAATAATGAATGTATGAGTTAATAATATGTTAAATCCAACCTTAATGCATGCAATTATGAATGTATAATTATAACAATAATTTATGAATATACGTAGCATGCTTGGATTTGCATATTAATTTATTATTAACACATATTCTAAATAAATTGTAATACTTCAGACAATTTAATATAAACCTCAATATTAAATTAAAAATTCAAACATCAAATTTAAAACTTAATATTTGCCAAAAAGTGAATAATAATTTAATAATTACTTAAGGTGGAATTAATTAAACAATTAACTAGAAGAAGTCCAAATATGATGATGGAAAATACTAAAGCAAGCCCAATAACTAAAGTAGGCCCAGGATTTTTTTTTTATTTTCTTTTTTAGTATTGGACCAGGTCTGCCTAATGGGCCTGACCCGGCCCAAACCTCATAACCCATCATCATTTCTTCACGTTAATTAGCTAAGAACCCTAGCAGCCATGTCTTGTTTCGGCCGTAGCCAAACAAAGGGAAAAGAGAGACGGATATGACCGAAGTCGCTCACCGTCCGCTGTCTCCATGGTCGCTGCAACTCCACGCTCCGTCGCCGAAATCGCCTTAAGAAGAAGAGAAGCAGCGATGACGCCACCGCCGGAAACCCAGCTTTGCCATCGCCGTCTCTCCTGGTCGCAACGCCAACGCCGTTGCCATGTCCAGCGTCCAACGGTAAACAACACCACCACCCACCTCTACCATCTCTAGCTTCGCTACTGAACGGAAACTATAACCGGTGAATAAATCCGACGATTTTCCAGCGAACAAGTAAAAAGCAGTAGGTTTATTGTTTTAATTTCGAAATTATTTTCTTTATATTTTGAAAACAATTTATAAATTTTTTCCAAAATTTTTCTGAAAAAAACTGACATATATATATATATATATATATATATATATATATATATATATATATATATATATATATATACATACATACATACTGTAAAAGCAAGGCACAAATAATATATGTATGCCTTTAATAGAATCAATGTATTCAGGTTGCCTACATATTCAGCTTAACTAAAATTATTCTTAATTTCAGTAGAATTAGAAATTAATTCACTCCAAAACATACACGTCAAATTACGTAATTATATCCAGACTGAATAGATATATTTTTATGTGTATAGTTTAAAGAATTAAAACATATACAAAAAACTTAATGTATATGAAAATTAACTTGTATATTGTTTTAGGCAAAACAATCAACCAGACAGAGATTATAAGGGCTCTGATACCAAATGTTAGATGTATATAATCTAACTATACTTAATAATAGTATACGAGAGATCTGACCTCGTATAAGAGCGGAAGCGTAGCCATGTTGATCCCCAGCCACAGTTGATGTTCCTGTTGTGTTGCCTCTTAATGGTAGACCGTTAGCCATTGTTTGCCTCATACCTGACTTAGAATCCTAGATAGTGTATTGGTGTCTACTGAGCAGTATGAGTATCGTAACTGAATGTGCTATATTATCAATCATCCTGTATCCCATCAATCCAGGATTATATTAGGCACAGAGTTTGGTAGACTAACAACTTCTAGTTATTCAGTCCAGCCAGACCACTTAATAAGTCTAGTCGACTTGCACCACTTAATTAAGGCCCTAATATATAATATATAATATATATTATGAGGGAAAATCTTACATCTTGGTCATGGTGACAAGTTTTGTCACAAAGTTGTATAAGGGTGGAATAAGAACAACGTGAAACTGTACGGAGCAGAGTTGCGTGTTGGTGGTCGTCGAAGTTCTCCACTGGCCGGCATGAAATGGATTGCGCCGGAAACTATGATGGAACGCAACCAGTGGGCTTCCCCTGGGCTGAGATCCGATGATACTATGAAAGCAAAGGATACACCGAATATTTCCACTGATTTTCTTGCGATTCGGATTAACGAGCCTATCTCAGCGATCTTGCATGGTTAGGAAACTCAAAATATGGCATCAGTGAATACCAACAGATGTACTGATTCTGGAATCTGCATGGAAGATAGTATTACAATTATTAAACAAAAAAGGCGTCGTACTGATATGGAAGGAAATGATGATGTGTTGAAATTACTGGGCCAATTGCTACCAAAAAAAAAAAAGAAATTACTGGGCCAAAAAATATGCTCATGGCGGGATCTAGAGCACCCCAGTCCCGCCCGACCCAATGAGTTCGTTATGTTGGAACTGTCGTGGCGTAACCCACGTGCAGTTCAGTAAATCTTGGCCTTTGAGACTAAAGTCAAGCCACATTTTATATTTTTAATGGAAACAAAAGTACGTCGTGAACATGCATAACGGTTAAGAACGAGATCCACTAGTACACACTGGACAATAAAAATTAGGCAATTGGCATCTCTTGTTTTAAAAAGAGAGACTAAAACATGCGCAGTGGTATTTTTGTAATATTTTAAACAACTAGCATCTGTTGTATTGACAAAATAGATGCTAAAGTGTAATTCTAAAAACACACGTGCTTTTAGCTACTGTTCTAAACACCATAGTAGCCAAAATTTAAAATAAATAAATTAATAAATAATAGACATATATATATAACCCTAGTTCTCTTCTTATTTTATCTTCACAAACCTAAAGCATTGAGATGGCGGCGACGATGGAGTAGGGGCGACGGCGTAAATACTTGGCGACCATTATCGGAGAGAGCAACATGGTGAAGCCGAAGGGCGACGTCAACGAAGAAGGAGCGTACTGAAGGCGACCTTCGATCCACATCGATCTATGATCAACAACGGCTGTAGCAACTGACGTCGGTTTGGCCGAGCTCCTTTCCTCTTTTATCAGCAACGACACCTGATGAGCGATGGAGGCAGCAATTGACAGGTCCGACATACTGAAGTTCCAGCGACATCTATCGACGGCAGCGTAAGCAGCTCCCCTCGACCCGGCAATGGCAGCCGCTCTGGCTCTCTCTCGATCAGACATAGTCTGACATTTTTTATTCCGGGCGATAGCTACGACTTAGCTTTGACCGAAGAAATCAACAGGTTTGTTACACGTCCTATCAGGTTCACATTTTAGTTGATTTTGCTTTGCTGTTACCTGGTTTTGAATGGATTTGTGCAGAAAATTGCAAGATAATTGAATTGCATATATGAGGATGGATCTGTGCAGAAAACTATTGAGATTCCAGATGAGCTTAAACGAATTTATAAGGTTTTTTAAAAATGGTTTGACCCTAGGTGAACCATAGTCGTTTTCTAACTTTACATATTTTTAGCTTCAACTAGACTTATATTTAAGTTCCTCAACATTTTGGAAGCGTGTATCGAATGATTTTTTATCTCTATTTCCATTATATTATTTATATATTATTCTTTTGTTTTTTCTAGGTACTATTTGTGTATTAGTGCGACATTTATTAGCATATCTTTAGAGGTCTGATCCAAAGGAATCTAGTGTTTATGCTCCTAGCACTAACAACCAATAATATGCTCCTTATGCTCATAGCACTAACAACCAATAATATGCTGGTGACGGATTGGACTTGGAGAATGAGTTGATTGTGAATGAATGTGTGCATGGACAGAATCTTGATTTTACTGATAGTAGAAATGAGCTTGAAGCTGGTATCAAGGTTAGTGTTTTTGAGCTTAAAAATTCTCAATTTTGGATGTGATCTATTGTTAAATACTTTTTCAATGATTTTTTTGAAACCTACTTCTTCAATAGTTACGTACAGAACATTGAATTTGGCCACTCTTACTGCACTGCGATTGATATCTATTGGTTTTTAGTGTTTTATTGCTTCAATGCAAATTGAGCTGATTCTTTGTGTTTTTTTACCTCATTCTCGTGTTTGCTTCGTGATTGGTTGAAATGTTGTAGGTTTGTCCGAACTTTCAACGTCTTGTTCATAGGCGCCTGTTGTAAAACAAACGCCTATTGCTTTTTTACAACAGACGCGAATGAGCTGTTTTGTACTAGTGAGACTTATCTTCGATGGCTTATTTTATGTGGATGGAGGAGTAGGGGGCGGTTTAGCATTATTTTGGCGGGAGAGAGGTAGTGTTAGTCTCATAAACTACTCGAAGAATCACATTGATATTCAGGTGCGGCTGCCTGGTAGCAACCCCTGGAGATTGACGTGTTTTTATGGCTTCCCGGAAAGGAGCCGCCACCAACAGTCATGGGATCTTCTAAGGTCTCTGCAATCTAATTCAGACCTGCCTTGATTAGTGGCTGAGGATTTTAACGACATTGCATCCCAAGCAGAGAAGCGTGGTCAACACCCCCACCCGGAATCCCTTATTGCGGGATTTAATAAAGCTTTAGAGGATTGTGGTCTCTTGGACCTTGGAATGAAGGGAAGGAGGTTCACATGGGATCGAAGTAGAGGGACGGAAAGCTGGATTGAGGAACGATTGGATAGAGCTGTTGCAGGGGTTGATTAGAGTAGTCTTTTCCCTCAGGCTACGGTTTATAATAAAGATGTTATCACTTCTGATCATACGGCTTTATATATTGAAGTTGATGGGCCGCGTTTGGTGAGACAGCGTCGAAAGTTTATGTTCGAAAATGCTTGGTTGAAAGAGTCCGGTTGCAAGGATATTGTGTTGAGTGCCTGGAATGCGTCTATGGGTTACATTTTGCCCAACCGTTTGGAACATTGTGGTCTTTCTCTTAAAAATTGGGGTGGCAGCTTTGCAAGTAAAACGGAGAAAGATATCGCTCTTTTACAAGCCCGCTTGAATGGTTTACGGGATAAGCATGATGAATCATCCCTACGCCTGGTTCGAGATGTTGACTGCAAATTGAGAGTTCTTTATAATCAATTAAACATTTTCTGGCGCCAAAGGGCAAAACAATATTGGCTAACGAAAGGCGACCGTAACACCATGTATTTTCATCTTTATGCCTCTAATCGAAAGCGAAAGAACATGATTCTTAAACTTATGGATGAAAATAATCATTGGGTCGATGGGGATGACTTAATGGAGTTAGCCAGACGCTATTTTGCAGCCATGTTTACGCCAAAAGGGCATCCTTTGGATGAGACTCTGAACAGTATTACTCCTAAAATTACGCCAAAGGATAATATTAGTCTTATGAGACCGTTTATAAGTGATGAGGTCAGAGTAGCTTTGTTTAGCATGGCACCAGATAAGTCCCCAGGACCCGATGGGTTCAGTCTGGGCTTTCTTCAATATTTTTGGAACGAGATTGGTGCGGACGTGACTCATTTTATTATTTAATGTACTGAAGGTATGGCTTTTCCGAAAGGTCTTAATGATGCCATAATTACACTGATCCCGAAGAAAATGATACCTACGGCCATGGGAGAGTTACGACCAATTGCGCTGTGTAACGTTGTTTATAAAATACTTTCCAAAATGTTAAGCCAATAGAATGAAGGATCTTTTGGATAAAGTGATATCACCTGCACAGAGTGCGTTCTTAACAAGACGACTAATTACAGACAACGTCTTAATAGCGTCGGAGGTTATACACTATCTGAATAGAAAGAGGGAAGGCAAAGAAGGATGGTGTGCTTTAAAGCTAGACATAGCGAAAGCATACGACAAGATGGAGTGGTCATTTATGAAGGAGATTTTGTTCCGGTTGGGGTTTCATGATCAGTGGATTGAACTCATTCTTCGTTGTGTGACTTCAGTTCGTTATAAAGTAAATGTCAATGGGAACCTGACCGATTTTATCACACCTTCATGTGGACTAAGACAAGGGGATCCATTATCCCCGTACTTATTGTGTGCTAAAGGCTTATCCCATTTAATCTCTAGAGCAGTCCAACAAGGATCAATTTCACCATGTATAGTGTCAAGAGAAGCGCCCGGCATTTCACACCTTTTCTTCGCTGACGATAGCCTTTTGTTCTTCAAAGCCACAGTGTCAGAAGCTAATGTGGTGAAGGGTTGTTTAAACCAGTATGAATATCTTTCGGGGCAGGCTGTCAGTTATGCAAAGTCATGTATCATTTATAGCAGGAACGTGTCCTCATATAGAAGAATTGCAGTGACTGCTGTCTTCAATGTCAGCCAAGCTGAAAATGTAAGAAGATATCTGGGACTACCTAATGGGGATAGGGCGAAATAAAAAGGAAGTCTTTTCATTTATTAAGGCAAAGCTCAATCAATGGCTAGGAGGGTGGAACAATAAGGTGTTGTCTCGGGCAGGAAAGGAGATATTGCTCAAAAGCGTAGCCCAAGCATTACCAACATATACAAAGCAGGGATGGCATCTCTTAACGCAACCGAATTCTTTAACCCAAGCTCAAAAGCGTAGCCCAAGAACTTGAGCCGTTCTAACACTGCTATTTTGGCAAAGCAGGGATGGCGTCTCTTAACGCAACCGAATTCTTTAGCTACCCAGTTATTCAAAGCCCGATATTTTCCTCAAACAGACTTTCCAGAGGATTGGTAATGGCCGTCATATTGCTGGCGTTCTATTATTGCTGGTCAAGAGCTGCTCCGTCGGGGTTGTTTCCGGAGGATTGGTAATGGCCGGTCAACAAGTGTTTGGAAGCAGCCGTGGCTGCCTAGTGATGAAGATCCATTCATTCGAACACCAATCCAGGGGCATAACGAACACATGAAGGTGAGTGATCTGATTAATGTTATATCGCATGACTGGGATACAGAGGAACAATTTGTTGGATGCACGTGATGTGGCTCTTATTCTGAGAATACCGGTTTCGTATCACGTAGATGATCAATTTGCGGTGTATACGCTGTCAAACATGGCTATCGCATACTGTCCAGTGGCTTTGATGATACACCACATGATGGAGTTTGGCGTGCTGTTTGGCGTCTAAAAGTACCTCCTAATGTTCAGAATTTTTTGTGGCGCGATGTATCCATGGGATTGTTCCTACTCTAGTTGCCTTGGCCAATCGACATGTAGACCTTGAGGTGGTTTACCCACTTATGTAAACAACAGCCAGAGTCTCTGAAGCACCTAATGTGTGAATGCATGCACGTAGCTCCAGTTTGGCAGAATTTTACCAACTATCTGCTACCCTTACCAGAAGAGGAATTCAGCACTTGGCTCTCCAAATGGCTAATTTTTGGTGAGATTTTAACGAAGATCAGTGCTGCTGCAAGACTGGTGTATTTGGCGGGCGCGGAATGAAGTGGTGTGGAGTCAGAAGGCTTGGGACACCTCACGTCTTTTGTTAGAGGTTTCCAGGTGTCTTGCGGACTGCCATGCTTATCCTGAATCAGAAGTCAGAGTGATGAGTGATGGTCCTGGAGTAGTGACGGAGGTGGTGATTCCAGAAGGAGGATATGCGATATATGTAGATGCTGCGGTTTTCTTCGAAACTAATCAAGCTAGCTTTGGTTTTGTTGTGAAGGATAGTAACAGAGACTTTGTAGCCGCGAAGAATGGTCCTCTTCGAAGCCCCAACGACGCACATTTAGCTGAAGCTATCGCCGAAGGGAAGCCCTCTATTGGGCAAAGGATAGAGGTCTCTGAGATATTATGATTCTCTCTGACTGTCAGAAGGTTTGCAACTTGCTCAATGGTTCGTCTATAGATTTCTTTTTCGCAGGTTGTTTTATTCAAGAATGTCTTTCCAGTTTATTTCTCGATCAGTGAATAAGTCTGCTCACGTGTTGGCTCGAGCAGTTCATTCTCAAACTGGTCCTCTAGTTTGGTTATATTTGATTCCTGATTGTATTGAATTTTTTAATTAATGAAGTCATGAGTTTTCCTTTAAAAAAAACTACAGTTCCCTTTTGAACAATAGTAAAGGTAAATTAAAAATGCAACGAAAATTTAAAATGAAACAGAAATATTTCAATAATAATATTCTACATCATCAATTAAAAATGGAACGAAAATTGGGTAAAAATATCACTGCATCTAATATTCTAATTGACTAATTGACTGAAAATAAAAAAGAATAATTGGCTGAAAATGAATATGACATTACTAATTGACTGAAAATATAAAAGAAAATGAATATTAATAGTTGATTGCAAATAAAAAAAAATGATTCATAATTGACTAATATGAAAAAATAAATGGTTAGATCATTACATTTTAATTAAAAATGGACGGAAAAATTTCAATAATAAAATTATACATTACAAATAGTAAATGCATTTTTTTTGAAGTAAATGCATATTTTAAACAATAGTAAATGTAAATTAAAAATTTAACAGAAATATTTCAAGAATAATAGGGAAAATGACTTTTTCCCCCTGAATTATATGTTAATAGCACATTTCCCCCCTGAATGATTCATTATTTTAAAAGGTTGAACCCCAACCCTACCACCAGAATGATTCAGGTAAGCACATTAGCCCCCTCAATTATTCTAAAAGATGTGGTTTTCCACTTTTCCCTCTTGATATATTAAATTGACATTTCTGCCCTTAGAGTAAACATTTTATTTATTTTCCATCTCTAACAAATTATTGCTTATACGTAGAGATGACCACAGTTCAGTTCGAACTGAACCAGACACTATAGCAATCGAATTGAAAGTTTCCGCTTATGATTAAAATCCAAAACACAATATTTGAAATTCAGTTTATTAAAATTATGAATCAAAAAAACTGGATCATGAACCGTGAATCGGCGGTTCCGGATCCGATTCACGATTTTGAATCGCCTTTATTTTAAAATAGTCTAAATCCAACAATAAATGTATTTTTATTTTATTTTTCAGTTCAGAACATGAACTGGCTGTTCCGGTTCGTGATTTTAATAAACTCTAAATATCAGGTTTCGATTATAAATTGTAATTAGAATATTTCAGTTTGGTTGCTATAGTGTCTGTTTGATTTGAACCAATCGGGGTGATAGTTTGGGGTAAATATGTCATTTTAACATTTCAGAGGGGGGGGGGGGGGGGGGGGGTAATAACCACTTGAATAATTTAGGGGGAAAAGTGCTTTGAGTATATAACTCAGGGAGAAAAATTGTTATTTTTCCATAATAATATTATATATCATCAATTAAAAATGGAACGGAAATTAAGTAAAAATATCATTGCATATGATATTCTAATTGACTAAAAATAAAAAAGAATAATTGACTGAAAATGAATTTGATATTACTAATTGACTTAAAATATAAAACGATCGCTAATTGACTAATATTATAGAGAACGAATACATTTGCCTAATTTATAAAAAAATATTAAACAATAATAAATAAAATCTCCAAAGTTACAGCACTACATGTGTATATCTACACGTTAGCTATTAATTTGAGTAATAATTTTCTCAAATTCAAACAATGATAATATCAAATTACATAAATGATCCAAACCACATCTTCAATTGCACTATATAATATTTGATGTTCTAATTTAAATATTATATCAATCCAAATATTCTTAGTATATTATAACAAATTCATTCCTTGCATCGCACGGACAAAAATACTAGTTCTAATCTTCTATTATAATAAAGCAGAACCTTTTAGGAATATAATTCCCGCCAAGTAAAAACGCAGCGTTTTGGGACAATTTTTGGTCAGCTAAACAAATGAATTCAATTTGCCGTTTCGGGAATCCACCAGTTGGAATTTGTTATTTATTATACACACACACATATAGAAGCTAAACAAATGAATTCAATGCACCGTTTCGAGAATCCACCAGTTGGAATTTATTATACATAATAATATATGTCTTTTTTATTTTTCAGATATTTCTCAGATATCAAAGCTAAAAAATACAAAAATAATTTTAAATAGAATGCTTCCTACAAGCCTATAAATAAGTCTTCCGGAGAAAGGCAGAAATGATGTGGAGGCTGTACAGGGCAAGAGGGATGCAAGAAGCCACGCCGGAGAGGAAGCAGCCGGCCGAATCAAAGCCTGCCAAGGGAAAACATGCAAAACCTACTCCACAGCTGTAAGTATCATCGGAGGAGAATGATAAGTAACAATCTTTCTTTGTTTAAATAAAATTTTTATTCTGTAAATATATCTAAAGCACTAATGCAGTAATAGATTAACAATTTTTTCATTATATGAACAATATAGAAACAATATTGGAGTAACTAAACTACTACCTATATAGCTCCAGATGATAGGTGGAAAATAATTGGCTCAACAATTATAGGAGGCAAGAGGAAGTAGAGTACATCAGATAAGGGTATGTTGAAGATATCTAACCTTTTATTTTGATGTTACTAGTAAAGCATTGTACATCAGATAAGGGTATGTTGAAGATATCTAACCTTTTATTTTGATGTTACTAGTAAAGCATTGTACATCAGATAAGGGTATGTTCTTGAATGTATTATCCTTTATATAATAAAGTTATATGGTTTGGGAAATAATTAATGTTACAATTAATGCCACAACATTATTTATTATAAATAAAAAAAAAAAACACAACATTTAAAAAATAAAATAGATATATATTATATAATCATATAAAAAATGTGTTCAATTAGAGTTTAAATTTACACATACAAAATTTGAAATTTGCTTTCCAAATGTAATTATCTTAGTTATTATTCGTATTGTGAAAATTATAATATAGAGAAAATACAATTAAGAATAAATCAATGTAATTATGTAAATTCTCTCTATAAGTTTATTTGAATATACACATAATTAGATATTATATTAACCATACAAAATTATAATAATAATTATAATTATAATTTTAATTGTAATTTTGTATTCTATAAAAATAATAAATACTTGACCAATGGAAGCTCGAAAATATTATTATATTAAATAATTTAAAATATTTTAATTTTTCTATTTTTTTTATTTATATTTATAATAACATAATTTTTTCCCGTGCATCGCGCGGGTGTATTACTAGTAATTGTAATAAAGCAAAGATGGACTGCGAAGGGCTCATACTCCTACACTGATTTATGTTTTTATTGCCCTCATACCTGTAGTAATTTATGTCCTACTGTAGTGTCATAAAATGAACTAACCCTCCCTTTGTAAATAGGGAACATCAGCAGGTGATGAAGTAAACAGTCCCACCATCGCAGTTTTAAGTAATTGTTAAAAATGGAGAAAAAAATCAAACAAACTCTATCCAGAGATGCTTACTAGACCAGTTTTCGTGAACTCAAAACCTTAAGTAAGCTTATCACTGCCTGGATTGTTGTTTTTGGTAGTTTATCAATTGCTATTTTGTGAACAGTTATGGACAAATAGCACTAATATTTCTTTCTCTATCACCTATATTCATTTTTATTTCTAACTCATCTAAAGATAAAATTCTAAATTATGGGTATCTTAAAATCTTTAATCAAAGCTATGTTTTACACCGAAAAGACCCCCAAAAACCCCACATATAGCAATAAAATTAACACAGAAATTTGACATTAAACAAAACATGGATAAGATTGAGAAAATTGGTGTTACCTCCAGATGATAGATGGAATGAATTTGCGATAGATGATAGGTGTTACATTAGTCTTCTCAAATTATTATTATTATCATTATTATTATTATTATTATTTGCATTTGTTGTATTAATAATAACATAACTGTGTTCACAAATGTTGGGTTGGGGCTTCCCTCCTATGTAGTAAATAGCTCATTTTGGACCAAGCCTGTTCCACTGCAATATTTGTTAGCTTGATGGAAAAGTTTGCTGACAATTATTTGGGTTGGAGAATGGGTTATTGGGTAGAAGTTAAAGAGTGGATGTTGGAATGAAGTTGTTGGGCAGAAGTTTGCTTGAGATGAACTTGGGAAGAGATTTCCTAAGGGAACTTGGGAAGAGGTTTCCTAAGGTTTATGGGAGGAGATTTCCTAAGGATTATGGGAAGAGGTTTCCTAAGGATTATGGGAAGAGGTTTCCTAAGGATTATGGGAGGAAGTTGAGGAATTAATTAGCTTTCTTCATTTCCAAGGTGGCTGCCTGCATCTATAAAAGGAGGGAAAATTCATTGTTTCCTCACCACTACACCAGACACTTCTACATACTACACATATTCCTTTTGTATTTTTTCGGCAGAAGCAATAGGCCAAAAAAGAAAGAAAAATTCAGTTTTCTTTCTTTCTCTTTGCACGGCCGTATGCAGCAGTTGAAGGAGCAACATCTATTTCTTCTTCTTTTTGTGCTACTTTGTCGTGGGTTTGCCTAGCTTCTTTGGTGGCACGGCGGCGGCGTGTGTCGGCAGGTTTTGTCGCACGTCTGATGGATTTTTCGTGAGGTTTGCCGAAGATCTTTGGGGTACTTTTCTTCATCAAATATTTTGTAGAGGTCAGTGTTTGTTCCAGGCATCATCGTTTTGGGTAAGCTCGTAATATTTGTATCATTTTCACCTTGTTCTTGGTGGTTGAATATTTTGAGTACGAGTTGGTATCCCTTTTTAGGCCTGTGAACGTGATAGAATGTATTTGGCCTAGTTGTTGTATTTGATGATTTTTAGGGTGTTTGGCTCGGGTGGTAGCCAGCAACTTTGTACCCAAGATTTTTTATAGTGGAATATTGTGTTGGTGGTGGTCCGTGGTTTTTCCCCGTGGTTTTGGAATTTTCCACGTAAATCTTGTGTCCCTTGTGTCTGTTATTTATTTTGGCTGGTTTGCACCATCTCGTATTTGCGCTCTTGTCGGTCCTGTGATTTTATTTGTCACAGGTGGTGGGATTTTTCCCAACAACAAATATAGTTGATAGTTGATAAAAATTATTTAAATGTTATTTGTTCATGTACAACTACGAAAACAGCACATGCAAGAGCAGATCAAACAACAAATAAACATAGTCAACCAAAGATCTTATCCAGAGAGATTTTTCAAGAAAATTTAAATTGAAGTAGGAGAACAATAAGAAATAAACCTGGCGCATGTATTATAATCTCTTATTCAAGTTGTACACCTGAGAGATTTTTCAAGTCAACCTCGACTCTCGCCTTAAATATTTACCGGCGAACTCTGCATGAGAAACAAACAGATTTAGGGCATTTCGTAAAATGATTTTTGAAAGAAGCAACTTCTGAGGTGGATATTTGCTGAAGAGGAAAGAAGTATTTGGAAATCCTAATGGAGAATGTGAAACCCAAATGGAGAGTCTTCGGGCATCGATGTTGCGGAAGAGAGAGGAAGGAGAAGTTCGCATTGTGCTGTTGATCTCGATTGATAGATTGGAGAATTCGAAACGTTTTCGTCACTTTTATATCATTACTAGTTTTTTTACGCTCTTTATGCGAATGAAATAATGCCCAATTATTATTTTTAAATAAGTATTTTAAAATATATCAATGCAATATTATATAGGAGATGTTTATGCATAAGTAAATAAATGTTCAATTTGTTTATATAAATTGGTAATTTAAAGTATATAAATTGGTAATTTAAAAAAAAAAAAAGTATATAAATTCAAGATAATATATGAGATATTGATTATAATTGTAACTAAAATAAATGTTTGCAAATTTGTAATAACGCTAGTCTAAATACTTAGTCTTAAAGTGATAGTCTAAATAAATACTACTTTTGGTTTAAATTTCTCTAATTCTTCTTAATTCTCTTTTGGGTAGCATTGTTATTGTTTTCATGTTCAGTACATGTCTTCTTTTTTTTTTTTTTATTGGTAATGCGTCATGTGCAATTAGGTTAATGGTAACCGCATAGAGGGATTCATCATGCAATGCGATTATGGTGTATGAAACTTTAGATTTGTCTTGCTATGTATATGAGTGAGATTTTAGTTAGATTATGAACTCTTTATCTTACAAACACCTATTGATATTTAGTACTGGTAGTTTTTCCCCTACATGTTTCATGTGTTGTGAGATGTGTGTCATAGGTTATCATGTGAAAGTATTGAACAAAATATTAATATTTATTATATTTATATAAAATACTTGGTAAATAAATGTATATAACATGTTTTGTATTATAACTTTGATTTTGTTAGCAATAATAATGTTGTAGTGTTAGCAATAATAATATTATAGCGTATAGTTTTAGTCAGTTATTCTTTCTATACTTTAGGAGAGATAGGTGGTAGCTTCCCTATAGGACTCCTAAGGGTATTCTCTTTGTAACTGATCAAGCTTTGAATTCTATCTCTCATCTGGTATCAGTTAGCGATAGGTTGTTCTCCGTTTATCTTTTCCTGAAAAATATTCAGATGTCGACAAACTCTTCTGAGCGTACGGTTACCACCACCACCGTTCTCGCTCCGGTGACCACCAACTCTCTCACCTCAGCCCACCACTTTGTCTCCATCAAACTCACCACAAAGAATTTTCTGTTTTGGTGTACCTAAATAATCCCGTTCCTCCGTGGCCAGGGCCTTCTTGGCTATATTACCGGTGAACTCCCATGCCCACCGGCGACCGTCACAACTCCTCCCCAGTCCGGTGACTCGGCGGCGATGGCGTCCGGCTCCACCACCTCCACGAACCTGGCGTACACGACGTGGATTCAACAGGATCAATCGATCCTTTCTCTGATCATTTAGTCCCTCTTCGACGAAGTGATGCACCTTGCGGTTGGCCGGGATTCCGCCCGTGAAGTATGGGAATCCATCACCTCCACGCTAGCCTCGTTGACGCGAAGTCGATGCCTGAGCTTGCTTGGCCAGTTCCAAACGCTGCGACAAGGAGCTGGTTCACTGGCTGAGTATCTCGAGAAAGCTCAACTCAGAGTCGAAGCACTCTCCCAAGCCGGTAGGCCCCTTTCCACCGATGAATAGATCATGTACGTTCTGAGAGGACTCCGGCCAGAGTTCCGAGCCATGGCGAGCTCTCTCACGGCCTCCAGCTCACAGGTGACGATCTCGCAGCTCTCCGATCATCTGCAGGCCCAGGAGTATATATACTCCGATGACTTCACCATCGGCGAGTCCTCCGGATCATCGGGTTCAGCAGTCGCTTTTTTCGTTGGCCGAGGCCGCAACACAAGCGACTCCAATGGTGGCAGAAACTCCGGCAACGGCGAACGGGGCAGGCAAGGGCGTGGAAGAAATTTTGGCAACGGTGGATGGTGAGGCTGTAACTGATTAAGATTTGAGTTTTATCTGTCATCGATTTTATTAGAAGATAATGTAAATAGAAGACAATAATAATGTAGTGAATATAATAAATTAATAAATTTGAAGGTAAGGAATCTTTTAATGGTAGAAAATGAAGATAATATAACTAATGAAATTATATTTGTTTTAAATTTGTTAATAATGATTTTTTTTAAAATAAAGCAGTATAGAGAAATTTGTTAATAATGATTTTTTTTAAAAAATAAAGCATTATAGAGATGCATCTAATTCTAAATTAATTAAATGTATATGTATTATTTTTTGTTGTAACTACTAATTTATTTAATTTAATAAAAGTAATAAAGTGTCGTACATACTTTTCATCAGCAATAATGAAATCAATGATTTGTTTTTTAATTTTCATTCCTTGTTGAGACAAATTGTTTTGAGAGTTTGTCAATGACAATTGCTACAATTGCTGTCAATAGAGGATGATCATAAATAATTCAAAATATATTATTACAATAGATATTGTTATAATGATATAGTAAAAATTAACTTACAAATTTCTTTAGAAGTTTTAATGCATTAATAAAATTATGATGTGTAAACTTGTTCAATTGGAGCTAGTAGGATGTTAACATTGTCAATTATTTGGAAAATGGTCCTATCGTTTTAGAGTTCATGTGTAATTCTATTTATGATCAATAACTTTGTAGTTAGGCCGCGCAGATCTGACAATGATGTAAGAATAATTTTGTCCAATAAAAAAAATAATAGTATAATATTTGTAAAGTAATATACAATTTTACCATTATAAAAAAATACAAAAAATATTAATACCATAATGACCTAAATCATTCCAATAGAGCAAAAACATAATTGAAATATTAAGTTTTGTTCTAAATAATCAAAAGAAGATTAATTAAACGTTTAAAAAAAAAAAACTTAACTTAAATTTGTTTTTTTTTTTTTAAAAAAAAAATTCAAGAAAATCAAATGAGTTTTAAAGTTCCCGATTTATAATCATTGATACTCAACTTTGAATGCTATGTATTTAGTCGGGCTAATTATATGACCAGAGTTTATGTTAAATTTTATATTATATATTAATTTTTAATACATTTCAACATATTCATAATATATGTTTAACAATTATGCCAACTCTAATTGGGATGTGGTTCGAACCTAAGACATTTTTTATATAAATTAATGAGTATGTTAAAAATAATAAATAGTTAATGGAATATTCCGTTACTAAAGTTTATACTAACGGAATTTAGGGTTATTTAAGGGAAGAAAATAATATAATAGAGAGTAAATAAAGAAAATCATTAATTCTCAAAAAAAAAATCATTAAAGAATACTAAAATCAAAATAATATAAACTATTCATTTTAAGAAACAACTACTATCGATATTTTTTTTTTCTAGTTAAGGCTTAACATTATTTGCTCTTATTAGATTTGTAGATACGTGGGGTTAGCGTGTTTTCAAAAAACATGTGGGGTTAGGGTTATGCTATGGGCTTATATAGTTATATGATTGTTTATGGGCCCAAAATATTTGTTTAATTAGTGGGCAGTTATATTTTTAGTTGGGTTAGATTTTATAGGCAAATTATGTCTAGGAAACGTGTTCACCGAGAATGGTGAACACAAGGTCAAACGATGTCGTTTTTAGGCAAAAAAAAAAAAATCGCGGATGTGAAGTTAACGGCGCGCGTTGATCAAATTATGAATTTTCTGTTATGAGATTATGAATTTTCATAAAATTCATAATCTCATAACAGAAAATTCATAATCGCATAACAGAAAATTCATAATCTCATAATAGAAAATTCATAATCTCATAACTGAAAATTCATAATCTTATAACAGAAAATTCATATTCTCATGGTTCCAAAGTGAATGTGTAGGCATGGTTCCAAAGTGAATGTATGCAGGCATGGATTCGTAATTTATGAATGTCCGTGATTTCGGACGGGAATGTGTAGGCATGGTTCCAAAGTGAATGTGCAGGCATGAATTCATAATTTATGAATGTCCGAAATCATTGTTCACCTCAAATTAAAGTGAAACCGCAAAATGTGAAAATGAAGAAGAAAAGTCACGCAATTAATTAAGAAAAGAAAAAAAAAAAAGATAACGGTGTACTAACACCGTTGGAACCGTGTTCACCATGAATGGTGAACACGGTTCCATGGCATAACGCTCCGATTTTGTATTGTAAATGTGCAGAGCTATTGTATTTTAATTTGTAAGGTGAACATAGTTCTATGTTCATAATTATTGAATTATATGTTTATAATTATAAAGCTATATATATTTATAGTTTTTGAACTTAATATTCATAATTATTGAATTTTATATTCACAATTATAGAATTTTATGTTCATAATTATAAAGTTATATATTTATAATTTTTGAATTTCATATTCTCAATTATTAAATCTTTATATTCGTAATTATGTTTGCAATTCTATGTTCATAATTATAGAATTATATGTTCATAATATTTGAACTATATATTCATAATTATGAACAGTTTTGAAACCGTGTCCACCTTACGGTTTCACAACATAACTTGCCATTTTTTTTGTAATTCTTAAATTTTTTTTGATCTTCTTTATAACTCTGTATTATGTAGTATTTAGTGATTAGTGGTGGTGATTAATACGATTACAATATAATAAACTAAAGTAAAGAGTAGGAAATTTATAGATTTAAGTTTTTTTTAAAAAAAAAATTATGGTCGTTGAAGTATGGAGTCTGAATACAAATAAAGGTGAATGTACTAAACTTTTAATATAGTTTATTATTTTTCAATAATCACCCACCTTAAATATCAATTCTAATTTTAATTGTAAATATATTTATGTTTATAATTTTATCATATCTGACAGGATAATAGGGCTGACACCCGGCCCAGATCATAAGTGGGCATCTGACCCGGCGCCATATTTGACCCGGTACCACATAGAGACCTAACGGGCAAAACTCCAACAGACAGAATTCCAACAGGTGTCACCTTTATTGCAATTGAAGCCACCATTGATGAGAGAGAATTAAAAGCTTGGCTCCCCATTTATATCCCATGTTGTTACCGTTGGCACCTTTGTATAAGTAGATGCTCCCCTCAGCTTGAGGGGATACGTTCAATACTCTGAACAAAGACACACTGTATTTTCTATACTGAAACTAAGGCAATACAACTATTGTTACAATCCGTTATTCTAATATTATTATTACCGGTAACATTTTTACCGTCATTGGTGCTTTCATTGAGAGTCTGAGTCCAACACTCAAGCAGGCGACGACATACACAACTCATTCATCTTTCAACAGCAAAGAATGGTGTCCCGCAGCTCCCACGGATCCCGCAACGTGAACAATGGCAATGCTTCAGGTGACCTCCGTGACCAACTCACCAACAATCGTGGAGGGGACCTCCGAGAACAGCTCAACAACGGGAGGCCCGGGGACCTTCGAGACCAACTCAACAATGGAGGGGACCTTCGAGACCAACTCAACAATGGAGGGGCGAACCAAGTTATGAACCTCCAGGCGACCATTCAGCAAGTAGTAACGGCGGCACTAAATCAGGTAGAGGTGGGACTACAAGTCCAAGTGGCCCCGCCGCGGCCTCAGGAAATAGGGGTAGAGACCCAAAGAAGTGGACCGGCCAGGCGACAACCAGGCCCTTCCCAATCTGCACCAGAACGATTGGGACAGAGGGCGCCTGTGCGGCAAAGATTAGGATCACGGGCCGAGGGGTCCTCTACCAGAGGCCCTCGCCAACACGAAAATAGAGAAGCAGAGAGATCACCCATAGAGGAGGTAAGCGAGTCTCGGGAGCCGACCCCACGTCGACATGTTGATGAGTCGGCCCTATGTCGACACTTAGAGGAGCGACGCGTCGATGAGCCGGCTCCGCGTCGGCATTCGACGGAGAAGCGACGCGCTGATGAGCGGGTTCTATACCGACAGTTGGAGGAGCGGCAGCCGGCCCCACGCCGACACCCTGACGAGTCGACCCTGGTCGAGAGGCTGCATAGAAGAATCGAGGACTTAGCAAGAAGGGTGGAGGCACGGGAGCAGTCGCCGAAACCCGAGGTACGGATGGCAGCACCATTCTCCCCAAGCATCATGGACGTACCTTTGCCGAGGGACTTTAGGTTGCCCGCCGTCAAGGAGTACACGGGGGCAACTGACCCACGTGTCCACATGACGAGGTACAAGACTGCTATGGTAATGATCGGGGCAGGGGACGCCATCATGTGCCGAGCGTTCTTGTCCACCCTTGATGGAGCGGCCCAAGACTGGTTCAACACCATCCCGGATGGGTCGATCCAAAACTTTGGGGAGTTGCCCAAGAGCTTCCTGACATACTTCTCCGGTAGCATACAGCGTAAGAAACCCTTCTCTCACCTCTGTGTAGTGAAGCAAGATAGAGGCGAGAGCCTCAAAGACTTCCTGATAAAATGGAAAAAGGAAGAATAATGTCTACGACTTCGACTCCAAGGCTGAAATCCCGATATTTATCCATGCCTTAAGATCTGGGTATTTCCACAAGCAGCTGAACGCCCACCACCCCCGCTCTTACGAAGATCTGATAAGGACGGCTAACCGCTATGCCGAAGCAGAGGACGTCGACAGGAAAAAGAAGGACGAAGTGGATGGTAGGAAAGGTGGGAAGCCTGGGAAAGCTGGTTCGCCCAGCCAGGCACCACTCTCGAACCACCCGACCGCAGGAAAAGGCCAAGACCACGAACGACCTCGCCTGGTCCCCTTGCGTAATTTAACTCCTCTTACCCATCCCATCAGTGTCATCCTAAAGCAAGCTGAGGAGATGTGAATGGTAGAATTCCCCGAGGAGTGCATGAAGGTCTCCCCAAAGGCAGACCAAACAAAGTACTGCAGGTTTCATGGGCAAGCCGGCCACGATATGGATGAGTGTCACGTTTTAAAGAGACAAATAGAAGAACTCATCCAGCAGGGCTACTTCCGACATTTCGTCAAGCGATCCAAGCAGCAGCAATAGCCGCAACACAATCCACCAAAAAATGTCTGGAGGAATGAGGATGGCACCGAGCCGTCCACCTCGAATGCCAAAAAAAGAGAACATGACCAAATATCTGAGTAGAATGATAACGAGAAAGAAACTGAGGTGGCGCCCATACGACAAAAGAAGCACACCATACACTTTATCTATGGTGGACCCGCAGGGGGTGACACGCCCGCGGAAAGAAAGAAGTGGAGCCGACAACTATACGTGGGAGAAGTGGTGAGTCTTCCCAGAGAAAAGAAACAGAGAAAGGTGGCCATCACCTTCTTTGATGATGACCTCCCAGAGGGCCCGTTACCCCATCGTGACGCCCTGGTGATTGAGATGGACGTCAACGATGCCATTGTCCGCCGCATCTTAGTCAACACGGGAAGCTCAGTCAATGTGATTTATTACGATGCCTTCACTAAGTTAGGGATACCCAGGAACCAGCTCAAAGAAGTACGTACCCCACTCTCTGGATTTACGGGTGATTCAGTGGAGACGGAGGGGTCAGTGGTATTACCAGTGGAGATAGGCACGAGCCCTAACATTCGCAAACTTGACGTGGAATTCATCGTGTTAAGACTCACTTGTGCGCACAACATCATATTGGGGAAGGCGGCACTGGAGAACCTCAAGGCCATAGTGTCGGTGGAACACTTGTGTATGAAGTTCCCTACACCGAATGGGATAGGAGTCGTCAGAGGAGACCAGCGAGCAACCCGTAGTTGTTACGTAAAAGCGTGCAAAAAGATTGGCAGAAAGGATCTACAAGGCCACACCATCTGCAAGGACGATCGATCGGGTAAGGAACTCGGAACATTTGATTAAGTATTTTCCTTAATATTTTGATAGTCATTTGGGACTAGTGCTTGGTAATCGCAGTCCGTCCGGTTTATATTATGAAATCTTTTGGGATAATATCTTGTATTCATGGTCCGGTCGTGTTTGTTTATTGAAGCATTGTAAACACAAAAAGTAAACTTTGTATATATTTCACAAAATTTCTCGTACAATGTATATATAATTTAATATGCAGGTACAAAATCTCTGTCTAGTCCTCTGATCCTTCACTGACGTTATCTATTGAAGTGCCTCCGGGATTCAAATAGCATAGCCTCCGGGATTTAAGTGGCGCGTGCCTCTGGGATTTAAGTGGCGTAGCTTCCGGGATTTAAGTGGCGTGACTTCCAACACCGAGCGTCAAGAATTTAGAAGTAATCAACCCTGCAAAGTTTCAAAACACACGCAATGGATTCAAGCTGCCTTAAGGTCCTCAAATGCTTTCAAAAGACTTCAAGATCTTCGAGACAATCGATTCTGCAAAGCTCCAAAGTACCTGCAATGGATTCAAATTGCCCGCAAAATCAACAAAAATGCCTTCAAATCTCCAAGCGTTCTTCAATGCCTTCAAGCTTTTCAAATGCTCTCGACTCCTTAAGTCTTCAAGTTGTTCAATGCCTTCAAGCTCTAAGCCTTCAAGTTCTTCAAGCTTTTAAGTGTGTCTTGGAATGAAAACGAAGACCCTATTTATACTAAAAGCTTAACCAAAATTCCTCAACCAACCCCCCTTTTTAGTTAATTAATTAATTAATTAATTAATTAGGAAAATGAACCTTGTCCAAGACCAAGTCCAGGTTCATTATTGTATAATCTAATTCAAATTCAAATTAAATTATACTCCCTCCGTCCCGAATTGGTTGGTCTCATTTGCTTTTTGCACGCTTTTTAAAGAATTAAAGTAAATGCTATGTATTTTCCAATTATGCCCTTCACTTTTTTACTTTTGGAAATAAAAGCAAAAGTCATAAGGGTAATTTGGGAAAAAGTAGAATGATGATGATGTTCAATTTTGGAAAGAAGACAACATTTTGGGACAAACTAAAAAGGAAAGTAAGACATGCAAAATGGGACAGAGGGAGTAATTATCTAATTCAAATATAATAAAATTAATATTATATTTAAATTATAATTATAATTATAATTTATAATTCAAATTCAAAATATGAAATGGGCTTGGACCAGATAATTAATTAATTCAATGGCCCACATCAAACTTAATTGGGCTAATTAAATTAAATTAATTTCTATGATCCAATTAATCAAATTGGCCCAATCATCATTCTCAACATTGGCCCAATAACACTTTAATCGGTCCATTTATCGGGTTCAAATTTTCTGTGTCTACAAATTGCCCCCTCGAGACTTGTCGGGACATGCGCTGTCTGATGTGCTTGGTGCGAGAAAGTCTCGAAACTTAACGAACGGTCTTTTAAACTCATCGTGGTGCATCTGAACTTCATTGGGCCCAAAACACATGCATAATATTTATTGAGTCTAAAATCATTTTAGGATATGTAGTGCATCTTGATCCTAAACATATGAAAACACCGACATGTTGACCATCAAAAGCTATTGGTCCATGTTGGATATTCCAAAGCCCAAATTCAAAATCTATGCAGAAGCCACCGCACCGCGGTTTATGTTGAAACTATCTCCTGGGCGAAAAATGCGTTGTAATCCTGATGGCAAACGGCGTATCAAATCCGAACACCGCGCCTAACTCTATCACAATTTGCTAAGAAAGAGGAACGTAGAGTCCCAACTCAATCCCAACACTGCCCGATCGTTTAGTATAAATAGGTGCCTCAAGACAGCCACAATCACGCCAATCAACAGAGCAGAGGACCAAGGAAGAATTTGCAGTCTGCTCCTCTTACCAAGTCCGTCCTTTCTATCAGGTAAACTCTTTGCTCCTAATTTTCTATTTTCTATCTTCGTCCGCATGCATTTTATTGTAGGAAATAGGAAGAGCAGAAACGATACAGTTGCAGCGTGAAGAAAACGAAAGGCCGACCACCCATCGTTTGTTTTTTTTTCATTGCTGATCGTTGACTTCGCCGGAGATTGTCTGTTTTTTTCTCTTTTTTTTTTGAATGCCACTGGAGATTTGTTGCTGCTCTCGCCGGAGGCCGCCGTTGGGAGATTATCGCTCCGGAGACCGTTCTTCGTCAAAATCACCGGAAGTTCGTCGCTGAACTATTGATGCTTGCCGGAGGGTTTTTGTTGTTTTTTGTTTAGTTGGAGGTTGCCGGACTGCTGGAGGACTTGAACCCACCATCGCTCAGAGGACGCTACTTAGCCCCCTCGCTGGAAGCTTTTGTTTTTTTTTGTTTTTTTTTTTTTTTTTGCAGAAATCGCTGGAGTTTTACCACCACGATTGCCAGAGCTCCGTTGCTGCCTTTGCTGGAGCTCTTCGCGGAAAACGCCGTTAGATCGCCATTGCAGAGGCTCTGCTCCTGGAGTTCGCTACTGGAGATGGATTGAAGCTTATTGTTGGAGCCTTGTTTTTTTTTTTTTTCCGTGAAAACTGACGCTGCGAGACCAGAAACCATGGATGTTGATCTCTGCCACTGCCGGAATCCGATCGTCGCCGCTGCCGGAGGTTCTTCGCAAAAAGTCGCCGATCGCCGCTGCCGTCCACCGCTGGAGTCTGCCGCGTACTTAGAGAGAAGAAAAGATAGAGAACTACAAAATGAAACACGGTGAAAATGCCTTTGTCTTTGTGAGCTGGGAGGAGCTTTAATCTGATGGTGAATTAATTTGATGGTGACAACACACCCTCTGGCAACCTACAACACAGCCACCAACCCCTTCACTTTTCTCCCCTTTCGTTTTTCACGTTTTCTTTATATTCTGCTTCGTTTTTTTTTTTTTTTTTTTTTTTTTGTATTCGTTTTCTTTTTCTTTTCTTTCTTTTACCCTACTTTCTGTTTACGCTTTTTTTTTTTTATTGTTTTTCTTTTCATTTTATATTCTTTTTTTTTTTTTCGTTTCTGTGCTTTGTCTTTCGTTTTTTTCTTTTACTTTGCTTTTCGTTCTTTTTTGTTTTGTTTCTTTTTTGCTAATATCTTAATAGTAATACTATGATATAATAATAATATAATAATAATAATAATAATAATAATAATAATAATAACATTACTAATAATAATGATAATACTAATAATAATAATTATTATTATATAATATTGTGTATATATGTATACAATGTATTAACATATGTAGTCCACATGTAGTATATGTATACAACCATTATTGCATAGACAACGGTCCATAAAATTGTGTGGACCATAGTCCAAAAAATTTGCCATATATATATAATTCGTCAATTTAATTTTGTGTTATGTATATGCTATATATTTGTGCATAATATATCATAGTTATTGTTCTTTTTTTTTTTTTTTTTTTTTTTTTTTTGCAGCGACTTTTCGACTTGACACATTCAAAATGGCGTACTTTCAAGATCAACGACGTAACGGGCAAGATGTCATGGTGATATCAAGCAGAAATAGCGATCATCAAGTCACATTGACGGTTAACCCACCCATAGTACTACGTGACCCGCCAAAGCTCACGGTGTCGTATCACGAGAGCAACTGGACCCCCGAGTACGAATGCCCGCCATCCAAGGTGTGGACCTTGCTACCCAGAATGCAGCACCAACCTTCTAAAGACGCCCTTCCTACACTGGGGCATCGTATACTTAATGCTGAGGTCTCGTGGGGCCAAGACATAGACTTCGAGGGCGAATTCACTTTTCTAAAAGGATATTGGGAGTGGGTTGAAGAAATGCTTCACTTCTCCCACGACACCTTAAAGGAGGGGAAGATATATGACGCTGTGTACGCGTCATTATTTACATATGACCGTAACATTAACATTGTCAAAGCCTTCTGCGGAGCATGGTGCCCGCGAACCAACACCCTGATCACTTCGTCTGGTGAGGTGAGCATATTGCCTCGGGATTTGTACGTTCTTGGGGGACTACCACTGCCCGGCGGCATTTATGACGAACATATCCCGAGTGCCCTAGACCTAAAAAGGGGCCCAAACAAGTGTTGTGCAAGCTTATTCGAGGCCTTTTATCTCTTAAACCAGCAAGAGGGTGGCACCCCTTTGTTCAAGCATCGCGATGGATTGACTTCTGGTGCAGAAAACCGCGAACACATCCAGCTCCTCCACCTCCATCTCAAAAGGACAGGAAATCCCGGCCAAAGAATACCCACAACCCAAGCGGAGAACTTAACAAATCCATCAGGTGGTTAGATGTGAGCAGGACACCTTTCTCGAACTAGGCATCTCCCGGCGTTTCGAAAAGGAAGCTTACTTGGCCGCGTTTTTATCTTGTTGGCTTTGCGTGTTTGTACTACCAGGTACACCAACAAGAACCATTCGCCTAGAGACTTTCAAGATAGCATGCATGATGGCTAGAGGAGATAAGATATGTCTTGCGGCTCCAGTACTTGCTAGTATTTATTCTGGTTTAAACTCAATCTCGGAATCCCACTCTCCTGGTCAAATAGGAGATCATTTTTCCAATCCATTACGTGTACGGCTGCCTAGCAACTTACTACCAAACTCACTTTAAGACCCCCAGCCTTACGTTAGCAAACCCAAAGATGGTCACTAATTCTGGAGAAGGTGGTGCAAGGTATTACACCGAGATGGATACCCGCAAGAAGATATTCAAAGGGGGCGTTTCTTGGCTCTGCAACTCCCGCAAGGATAATAGAGATTTTATCTTTTACGACGACCGTAGAGGGAGTAGAGAAGACTTTGAGTATTTCATATGTTTGCGCCCCAGCTTCCTCGTTTTGCACCAAGGGTCTCGATGCAAAGCTGAGCCTTATATGCCGCATCGCTTCAGTTGTCAATTTGGATTCTATCAAGCATATGCCCCCGGCCTGTTGGCAAAGGATGTTCGTTATGCTTCACTCACCGAAGGATTCCGACTTCATCGCCAATATGATAATATCAACTCCCAATCCAGGGCGACATTTCCCATGAGCCCGGCTGCTCCAAAGAAGCATTTTTCGAACGAGTACAAGGCCTAGTTGATCAATGTGAGTGCAAACCTTCTCGAGAATCATTTCACAAACATAGCCGTTAACGGAAACCCAAACGTACCTGTTGGCGAGGAAGGAACTCAAGAACAAAGAGACCAATTGACCACCTCAAGGAACAAAAAAAACACCTGCACAAGAGGCCATGTCATCTCGGGATAGAGCCCCAGGACATGCCGTTCGAAGGAGCAGGGAGGAGTAAGCGAGGCAGCGAAGCTCGGACGAGGATGCTGGTAGTGATGACGATCAAGATCGCTGTTGGAAACGGCCTAGAGGGAGACCATTGAACCAGGTTAAGATACTTCCCCAAATTCTTCCGTTTCGTATATCGTTGGACTTTGGCCTTTGTTAACGTACATGCACTACTTCTTACAGGATCCTGCCGAGCCACATGTTAGCAACGATGTCCAGTCATCAAATCATCAATCTTCAATGGGACAAAGTGGCGGACGCTCTAATACCCTTGACCTCGAGGTAGAATCCCACCAGTCGATGTTGCCTTTAAACACAACTCCTCAGGAGACGCAGCCAGAGCCGTCCCAAACCTCTATCTTCCCCGGCGAGGAGTCGTTTATATCACAATACATGGCTTTCATTGCAGGAGTTTGGAGTAGTATCTGCAGGAAGCTTAATGAGATTCCAGCTGAAAGAATTTCTTCTTTCCAAGGAAGCGTTGAAAGACAACTCCAAGAAATGGGACGGGACGGGGTGGACCTATCAACATTGAAGCGACGAGTGGCCGAGTTCTTTAACAAAGCCAAAGATTACGATCGAGCGCGGTCGCAGCTCTCGAATGCACTGCCCGTTGAAACCCAAGCCGCGAAGCTAGTTCTATCGCAAGGTGTCCTTATAGAAGCTCAACGGAAGTGTTCTCAAACCGAAACGCTTTTTCTTGACGAATAGAAAACCCTCAAAGACGCCGCCGATCGAAAAACCCTCCTGGAGAAAACGATAAAGGATGCGCAGGAAGAGTTGAAGGAGATTGAAGCCAAGAACCCGGAACTCCAAGACCGTATGACGAAGGCTCAAGAACAACATAACGCATCACAAAAGGCCGTGACCACCGCTGAGGAGGAAGTTAAACGTATTCGAGACTGCCTCACGTTGACAGATGAAGATGAAGAAAAGCTTACTTCAATCAAAAGAGAGCTGTAAGCGTATAAGGAAGATCTCATGAGCTTTAGAATACTTTAGATTTTTTTTTTTTTTTTTTGCTTAGATTTTTTTTGTATAACGCATGAGTTTTATACTTGGAAACAAGACTTGAATACGACTTGAATTATCTTCTCTTTTCAACAATACTTGCAAACAATTTTCTTGATTACAAGTGCAAAAAAAAAGAAAGTATACTCGGAGGAAAGTAATTGAACTTGAGCATGAACAGAAGCAACTAAGTCTAAACCCAAACGAGTCACTCTAATAGAAATCTGACAAAAGAATTCACCCGTAATTACAACATGAACAGAGATGACCCATCTCCAATGCATCTACATTATTCGAACAAACGTGACATAAAGGGGACACAAAGGGGTTTATTTTAGTTATGACTGAACTTAGAAGAGGAAGTGTTTCTAAGCTGCCTACGTACTCCTGCAAAAGAGATCAAGTCAAACGTAGTTCAAAGGACCATTTGAATAGGTAGGGCCGTTCACAGTTTAAACTCATGCGGGCCAGGAGTTTACCGTACACAGTTTAAGCTCGTGCGGGTCAAGAGCGTCTATGACTTCGGCCCACCCATAGACAAGCGAGATGCATTAGCAGTTTAACCACGTGCTGCAATTTTTGTGGGTATCATTCATTACGTAGTCCGTGTGCTTAGGGATGATAGATCTTTAAGAATTTCCCGTTAATAGGGCCAACTCGCACACCATCTTCATCAATTAGCTTTTAATCACCTCCTGAGTATGCTTCTTGTACCACGTAAGGTCCATCCCATTTTGGAGTAAACTTGTGCCCAGTTTTCCTTGTAATAATGATAGGTCTACGAACCGCCAACACCTTGTCACCAACCTGAAATGAGCGAATCCTTACCCTCTTGTTGAAAGCTCTAGAAAT